CGTGTGAGACGAAAGTACGCGGATTTCCGCGAGTCGAACAGCCAAATCCTAAAGCCTCTCACAGAGATAAAAGAATGTCTCCCCTTCGCGGGACTGTTAAGGCGCCTATCAACCGGCGTCAACCTTATTTAACCTAATTAAAAGGATTAAATGTTACTTGTTATCAAATAAATGTGTTCTTAATAATCAACTTCTTTCAGACTCCTCTCTCCCAAATCAGTCTTGAGCTTCTCTAAAGAACCTCGCCCCTCTGCCAGTTGTAGATTGGGCTAGTCGCGCTTATCGCCGTTGCTTTCAAATAAATAAAATATTGTTTTGACGTAATTTGTTCGTGCGGCGCGTTAATCCGCGCCTGGCGCCCAATCATAAGAATTGTCGAAATTGTTAACATCCAGTAAATAAAGCAACGAGGTTTGATACGCTTACCGGCGGGACTACTTCTGCCCGACGGAAAAGTCGTCGCAATTTACATGAATAAAAAAAATCATTTACTTGATTTTAATAAATATTTATTTGAATAAAATAAATATTTATTTAAATCAAAAAAATATTTATTTGATTCTAATAAATATTTACTTGATTCTAATAAATATTTTCTTGATTCTAATAAATATTTACTTGATTCTAATAAATATTTACTTGATTCTAATAAATATTTATTTCAATAAAAAAATTCATTTACTTGAATAAAAAAATATTTACTTGATTCAAGTGAATATTTACTTGGAATCAAAAAAATCATTTACTTGAATCCACTCTTAAAAAAGGCATGAAAAATCGATACTCGAATATATCGAAAGTATTGTTGACGCTTTTTTGCGACGCTGATTGTTATCTTGATTATTCTGGCAGTTTGATAGTTTGAGAGCAAAAGTTATTTTGGCGGTTATTTAAAATTAAAAAAATTTTTTTTAATATTTAGATTTTATAATTATTAAATTATAATAATAAGTGCGCGCGCGTAGCGCGCGCTTGTATTGTTCTAGTCAATTAAATTGAGTAACACATTAAAAGCATGTTCTGACATTCTAAAATATTGATAAAATTTAGTTGCATCATCAACCAATTCTTTATATGTAAAATGTAAAAAATTCACCTTTTGTTTTTGTTTTGTCCATGCTTTATGAATCCATAAAATCCGTTTTTTTTTTTAAGATTTTCTCTTTGTCTAAAATTAATGCTATTACCGCTAATTCGTTTATCGATAGCTCTGCCATGTTCACAGTTCAGATGTATGTCTCAAGACTGATGTTTCAAAATATTCACGGATGCGAGCCGGATATGTGTAAATACTCATATCGAATCTTGCCGGTACGGTACGGACACGGTACGGATACGGTACGGATATGTATAAACGTACCTTAAGTAAGAAGCAAATTTCAGATATAGTCATACGCAATTGTATATGATTTTGTATAAACGAGAAATTCTGGCTAATTGTGTTACTTTTTCCTTAATTTCACTTAATGCCTTGATTTAGAAATATTTTACTTTTCTAAAAGTTTCTATACCTTTTTCTTATCGCGCGCGTGCATGCAATAGAGGAATATAAACACAATAAAATAAAAAAACACTATTTTACATTTATAAGAGATATATGTTATTTATTGTTTTTCTAAATAATATGAGAAAAATAAATAACATGAGATATAAATACATTTTATGAGTGATACAAATAGTTCAAAAATTAGTGCTTGGGGTATTTAAAGAAGAGATTTTTAAGAAAGGACCTCATCAAGTCACTCTTACTGCCCATACAGCACAGAACATTGCAATTACATTACAGCAATGTTACAATCTTGCAAGTTGCAATGTAATATTGTTGAGACATTATTGCAACCTGTAATTGTAATATTTCATGAAAATGTGACAGCAACATTCCAACAACATTGCAATAGCAATATTTGGTAATCGCTAGTTCGTTCGTTTACCGCAATGCAACGCGCGTTGCAAAATCTATCTCGTATTTAAGTTTTAGTCATGATGATTATATGAAACTTGCAAAGAGTGGCTAGTAAGATTAAAGACATAGTAATTATTTTTATCAGTTTAATTTTTCTGATACGACCTCAACACAGGGAATTCAGATATTGAACTGATTTTTCAAAAATCGGACAGATAAATGTCCGAATAAATAAAAATATATGCAACATTATTCTAAGATTGCAATAACAATGCATTATTACAAATTCATTACATTGCAATATTACTGTAATATTTCGTTACAATCTTCCTAAAAGCGGACATTTTAACGTTGCTGCAATGATGCAACAACATTTTGCAGTGAATTTGCAATATTGCAACATTGCGATGAAAGATTGATGCAATGTGTATGCAATCTTTGTGTGCTGTATGGATATATATATATATATATGATGTGATGTATGTATGATTATGTATTTTATGTTTGCGCAATAAAAACACAACAAAATAAAACAAGAAAATGTATATTTACTCATACACACCTTTATATAATTATATATAAATGTATATATTCATATTCATTTATATATAGGTGTATCTATTTATGTATGGACAAATTCGGTATATAATTTTGTATAATTAGATATGTACTATTTTTGTCTAATTATGTATGAGAAATTTTTTACCGGGTGATTGCAACAATCGTGAAATGAATTGCCTTTATTAGATATTTTTTCGGCTGCAAAATATTTTGCATTGCAATGAACACAAGACACATCCATAGAACCAATATAGTATTCATTTATGTCGTCAATTAATATTGTACTATTAATATTTAAACAAGGTTGTTGTTTTTTCTGTAATCGATAATGAGATAGATATTCTGCATGACTTTGCTGATTTAATGATATTGTATTTCTAGGATCTCCTTCAATTATTTCTTCATTTATTTCTATTATGCGATTAGTATGTATGTTACCAGTGCAACTAATTTGTTTGTTTATTAGTGTAATATCTAAAGAATGTTTTTTGTTCAGTTCTGTTATATGATTATCATGTATTGTACCAGTAACATTTATAGCATATTTTCTATAATCAACTGTTTCTAATTTATTTTTTATTTCTTTAGCAACTGAATGACGACGACGTTGATTTTCTGCAATTCTTTCACGACATTGTCGTTGAAATTCAAGTTCTTCGTTTAAAGTACGCTCTTTCTTACGCTTCGGCATTTGACAAAAATATAAGTATATATTATATTAATTTTAAAATCAAAATTATTAAATAGGAGCGTAAAGAACCAAAAAGCAAGTTGATCGTGCAATAGTGTATTACTTAATTTACATTATCGTGGAATATAAACGTTTCGGCTTGTCATCAAGCCTATCAACTAAGTAAGTAATAAAAAACGAATTCTTAGAGATATTTAAGAGTTTTTATAAAAGACTTAAGTAATCGGCAAGTAGAACTACCGAAATTACATCTAATAAAATCAAAAAATGAAGAAAGACGCATCATATTGCTTGCGTAAATTCAAAATTAAAAAGATATAAGGCTCATATGATTTTAAAATTAAAATTATTAAACAGGAGCGTAAAAAGCCAAAAAGCAAGTTGATCGTGCAATAGTGTATTACTTAATTTACATTATCGTGGAATATAAACGTTTCGGCTTGTCATCAAGCCCTTATCAATATAAGTAATAAAAACGAATTCTTAGAGATATTTAAAAGTTTTTATAAAAGACTTAAGTAATCGGCAAGTAGAACTACCGAAATTACATCTAATTACGTCTTTCTTCATTTTTTGATTTTATTAGATGTAATTTTGGTAGTTCTACTTGCCGATTACTTAAGTTTTTTATAAAAACTCTTAAATATCTCTAAGAATTCGTTTTTATTACTTATATTGATAAGGGCTTGATGACAAGCCAAAATGTTTATATTCCACAATAATGTAAATTAAGTAATACACTATTGCACGATCAACTTGCTTTTTGGCTCTTTACGCTTCTGTTTAATAATTTTGATTTTAAAATTATATGAGCCTTATATCTTTTTAATTTTATATTAATTTTATATTATACTTATATTATTTATATTATTATGGGCGTATTGCCCTAAGGATGTGTTCGACTTGGTTAAAGATTTTATGAAAACCAATTTCGTTAGAAAATATAATTTATTTTCTTCGTCAGAGAAATGAGTATATACAAGTGCTGTATTATGTTTGAATTAATTGATTGCGCCAGAGGCGCTTTCTCGGTATGTGTGTAAGACCGAGAAGTTTAAAAGAAAAATTGACGGGCGCGGTAAGACTGTACCGGCCGCGTCTTTGTATATTGAACGGGTCCTAAAAAGGACGGTTCTATTGAATTGGCTCGTTGCAGCCCCTTTCCTGATGTTGGAGGAACTCCGTTTGGAAAGTGATCTTCCGTCTTGCAGCTGCTCTCTGAGCACGCTCTAGGTGGCGAGGTCTGGATGGCCACGGAACGAGTTTCCGGTGTGCCTGAAGATGCAACCGTCTTGGCTCTCGGCGTAACAGAATGTTCTGTGTACCGAGGAGAGAGAGGTCTCCGAATTCGGATGTCGCCAGCAACGAGAGTGTCCCTTGGTGGCCAAGTCAACCGGACGCAGAACTCTAGGGGAATTAGCTTCCACGCTAGAGTCTGAGGAGGTGACGGCGGTACTGATAAGTCAGCGGGCCGCTTGGTTGAAGTGTGCGGCTGAAGCTGGGACTTTGTTTTTCTTTACGTGCCTTGCGAGGCAACGTGAGAAAAACGGCGAGACAAATTTGTCTCTGATTACGCTCTGCTAAAGCAGAGTAAGACTCAAGTCAAGGGCCCTGTAGGGCTGCGTTCTAATTCCCCACCTGAGTGCACCTGGACACCCAGAGAGCGTTCAGATTCCCTTCGAATGCTCCTATTGGACTTTTAGGTGGAATGTTCACATTGTCACTTTATCCACTCGGGAGAGTGTAAAAACCACACGGGTCCGTGAGCCGGGTGGAACGAGTGATACGATGATGATACAAAAATGAACGCATTCAGCTAACACAACAGTTGTGTGAGCGCTTACTATCATGGAAATCTCACAACTGTTCTTCGCTGAATATCTGAATGCGTTTATGATTCACATTTAATATATAATACTTTTTAAAAAATGTCAAAATTTGTTTTGGACGCCGAAAGGCATGAATTATTAAAATCTGATAATAATGAACCTATTCTGATTGAGGGGTCATTATTTATTCGTGATAAAATCTGTAAGTATTGGTAGTTAGAAATTAAAAGAGGTTAAGAATTTTTTAGTTAACAAATCATATGTATACGTATGTGTATGTGTGTAAACATACATGATTTATTAGTTTACAAATTATATTAATAAATATGATTTATTATAGCTGGTGTTGTTGTGATGACTCTTGACACATTAGAAACAAGGCAATTTTTTAATCTTAATAAAGTTGATAACAATTCAAGTATGTATAGTCATTATGTTATATTTTTGAATAAATAGACTATTGATTTTATTATACTTTTTTTCTAATGCAATTCTGTTGCAGATAATTGTACCAGTAGTATTGTTTTATCAGATGCTGATGAAACTGGTACAAGTAATACTGATGAGCTCAATTTAACTCATAACAATTCAGGTAATGTATTTTTGAATAAATAAAAATTTGATTTAATCTATTCTTTCTTTTATTAAGATTTATATTTCATATTTCATCATTTTATATTTCGTTATAGAAGATTGTACAGATACGGAGCTTTCTTTTTCCTCAAATTATGCACCAGCGAAATGGACAGATACCAATGCTGTAAGAGCACTTATTTCAAATTGGAAAAACCACAAAAATGATTTCAAAAGCACGAATATTAGAAATAATAAGGTGTGGCAGATGATAGCATATGATTTGAAAAAAGAAAATCCTTTGTGAAATTTTACTAGTACTCAATGTGAAAACAAGTTTAAGGATATTAGAAAATCATTTACTAAAGTAAAAGATCACAATAATCAGAGTGGAGCAGAATTGAAAACATGTAAATTTTATGATGAGATGGAGGCTGTTTTGGGTGAAAAACCAATAATAAAACCAATATCAATATGATCGACACTAAAAAGGAGAATATGTCCGAGTTCGAAGAGTGCAATATCACCGTGTAGTTCTGACAGTTGCGAAGAAAAAGAAAATGGATCGCCAAATATAAAGAAAAAAAGCAAAATTGCGAAAGAATTGGACAAATGGAGTGTACAACAAAAAATAGAAGCAAAGGAACGAGAAGATGCTAGAATGCAACGACATAAAGAAAAAATGGAAAGACAAGATAAAGCTATAATGATTTACAAAGAGCAAATGGAAAAGTTACTTGAAAAACTCTAATGTCTAATATTTAAAGAATCTGTTCTTTTTTTCTTATTAACATTTTTGTTTCTTTATAATACAGTTTTATAACATAATGGCTTAGTTTACACCGATTGTTTAGTACGCGTACCAAATACTAAATCTGCTTCTCTGATAGGTATAAATCGTTTAGTGTAAAATCTACACCAATCAAAGAAGCTGATTTATTACTTGGTACGCGTATTAAACAATCGGTGTAAACTAAGCCAATATAATACAGTTATAACATAATATAGTTTTATAGTTAGTTAAATAACATTTGTTGTTAAAAAGACTTCCATTTTCCTAGTAAGGAGCAATTTATTTTGTGATAAGCTAAGTAAGCTTATTTTGTGATTGTAAAGCCATTAAGGTTTTTCTTAATTCCTAGTTAATGTATTTCTGTGGAACAGTTCAAGTTCATAAATAAAGAAATAACCAAATAATAAATAAATGTTTTCTTTATTATTCTTAAATTAAACTACATTTAAGTATTTAATTTAATTATGTCTAAGTATCTAATTAAACTATATCTAAATAAATTATCTAAGTAACGTATCTTACAAAAAGTATTAAAGTAAAAGAGAACTTATTTCTGGATAGGCCCTTAGATAAAAAATAAATTAAATTTTTTCTTATATTTTTTAAATTATATTTCTTTATATTTAAGAATAGTGAAACCAATTTCAATAACATTAATATGACATTATATTAATATTACAAAGTTAATATAAAGTTAATATAAATATAAGTTTCGCGTCGAGCGGCTTCGTGCGGCACGCTTTGTTTTGACGCGGTTTCTTCTTCTGAAAAAATATAAAAGAAGAAATTACATTGATTTATGTATTAAGCTTCAGCGAGAAGTGCACACAAGTATTCACGTTTCCTTTCTCCTGCCTCTTCATTAGGTATATTTCCAGCGTAAGTTACATCATCTTCTATTTCCATACCTTCCTCTATAAAGTCCTGTACATCATTTTCATTCACATCATCTAGGCATATATTATGCAATACTGTGCAAGCAGTCACAACATAGGGAATCATTTCATCTACATTCATATCGAGGAACTTCAGTCTACGGAATCTACCTTTCAGTAATGCAAATGCACGTTCAATCACTGACCGTTTTGATGAAAGAGCGGTTAAATTTCTTCTGAGTTTAAAACGATATCATAAAATGTATATATTTAAATTAATTTTTTAATACAAAAAAATATGTAATAAAATATAAAAATATAAATATGTTTTATATATGAAATCATCTTACAACTGTAAGTTGGTACCACGATCAATATATGGAGGAATACACCATGTTAAGACAGGATATGCCTTATCCCCAATAATAAATTTATCATTTGGAAAGTAAGACTTTTTATCTAGTTGAACTTCTTTCCACAAATCTGAATTTCTGAAGACCCTTAGATTTCCAACTGATATCCCGCAAAACAATCGGTAAATTTCATACGAGTATTACAAACTGCTTGCAAAATAATAGCATATGTTTTTTCATAGGTTTTATAGTACTGAAAGTCAACCTGGAAAGAAAGAAATGTATATTATTTTTTTCTCTTCTAACTCGAATTACTTGCAACTATATTAAAATTACAATGGATGTCAATAATGTTATTACATACTTTAGGGGCTTTTATTATATATA